CTAGAAAGTCGCCAGTTCTCATCTTCCAGCTCCCCAGATACTCCGCGCACTCAAGTTGCACTACAAAGTCGCCAGTTCTCAGCTTCCAGAGGGTTGCCCGCGACCGGGACAAATCGCACTCTCGCTTGCATTTCGCGCACTCGACGCGCGCGATCCCCGCAGAGGGTTGCCCGCAACCGGGACAAATCGCACTCTCGCCTGCGCTTCGCGCCCTCGACACGCACGATCTCCGCAGAGGGTTGCCCGCGCCAAAACCAAATCGCACTCTCGCCTGCGCTTCGCGCACTCGACACGCACGATCTCCGCAGAGGGTTGCGCCGGACCGGACCAAATCGCACTCTCGCCTGCGTTTCGCGCATCCGACACGCACGATCTCCGCAGAGGGTTGCGTTTCGTGGCGGTCCGGCGGCACTGCCCCCGGCCTTAAGAGAAAAAGTTAAGAAGAGCGAGAGGTGAAGCTCTGAGATGTAGATGAGAGGTAAAGATGTGAGATGTAGATGTGAGGATGTGAAGATGAGCAGACATGTAGATGTGAGGATGTGAAGATGAGCAAAGATGTAGATGTGCAGATGTGAACATGAGCAGAGATGTAGATGTGTGAAGATGAAGATGAGCAGAGATGTAGATGTGCAGTTGTGAATGTAGATGTGAAGATGAGCAGAGATATAGGTGAGAATGTGGATGTGCAGAGGTGAAGATGTGAAGATGTAGATGAGACGTAGTTCTGCAGATGTTTTTTTACGAAGAACCCTTCGCAGACGCTCTCGGGAACAAACGAAACAAGTGGTGGATGTAAATCTACATTCCCAGGCACTACGCAAAAAAGATACCAAACCAAACTTGAAATGTCAGGATCACCCGTCTCAACCCTCCCAGAAATCATTCGAAATCGCCCCAGCCACCTGAATTAAGAGCTCCACAACAAGCTTACTTGGCCTCTGCAGAAGTGCAGATTTCCTTCGTGCATTCCCACGTGCTCCCCCTCCAAGACAGCAGGGTTGGCGGATCTCGCTTTCTGTAAAAGGGTCCAAGTGTGATGTTTTGTGAGGGTCACCATTTCGAAGTCGCTCCGTGTCAGGCAAATTCAGCCATGAGCTTCGTGAAGCTGAAGGATTCGAACCGGTGCACAAGGTGTTGCAACAAGTAAACCACGCTGCACGGCTCTTTGCTCGATTCCGGGATCACATGAAGGAGGAACCGCTGAAACATCTTTCTTCACCTGAGAGTGAAAGTTGGTTCCCTCGCATCGAGAAACCCGGTGGTGCTTCGAAAGTTTTATCCTCATAAACGTTTTCCGTATGGATACAAATGATCTTGTACATAATACCAATAGTTCCAGTTGATGTTCTTCCATACTCTTCCTTAGCCATGAGCAAGGATGGAGTTCGAGATGCTGCAAAAGATGGAAGGCGCAACGGACATTGCGAAGTTCTTGATTGTGGACACCCCGGGCCGGGATGAGGCAGATCTCATTCCGGAGATTCCACTGATCTTTTCCCAGGTGCTGAAAACTTCGACTGGGGCTGTTTGCGTTTGCAATGCCCAGCTCCTGAACAATGATGCCCAAGCTTCCATCAACAGGGATTTGACGGAGATGAAGGCTAAGCATCTTCCTTTCTTTGTGCTTGCAAACAAATTTGACCAGCTGGAACAGCAACGAGATTCGTTGTCCAAGGAGGACCTTGAGGCCCACATGGCAAAGCAATGGTTGGGACAGGAGAATTGGAAAGCTCACAAGCGTGTTTTTGCGTTGTCAGGTGAAAAAGCTTTCCTGTCCTCAAGAGTTGCCAGTTTGCTGAAAGACGATCCTAAAAAGTTCATTGAGGAGGTGAAAGCTCAAGAGGACCGCTCCCCATCAAAGCAGTCCACTTCAAAGCAGTCCACTGTGCGACAGTGGCTGCAGGTTGCATTTGGCGATGCAGGGGCGAGCGTCTTGAAATCCCTATCTGACCCTGGAGCTTATGAGAATATCTTGAAGGAAGCAAACCAGTGCATACTTAAACATTCGCATTTCCAGGATTTTGTCACAGAGATTGTGGAGAAGTTTGCGCCGCAAGCAGGACGACAAGTTCTTCGTTCCTGTCTGAAGCAGCTTCATCACAGCTTGGTTGTTCATGTGAGAAAGGAGGTGTCCAACCTTTTTCAGGTCTTGCAGATGGACAAACTTCAGCTGCAGCAAGAGATCAAGAACAACCAACGCATTAAAGAAGCTGTGGAGCAACAGCAGCAGCAAGCGAAGAGCGAAATGTCCAAAGTGATTGACAGCCTCAAGTTGGAGGCAGGTGAGGCTGGCCATAAGCTTCAGGGTTTGATGCAAGTTGTTGTTGACAAGCAGGTGGCCCTTGCCATGAAGAAGAGAAAGGATGAGTCTCCAGCATCTGTCATCACCCCGACAGAGGCAGACTTGAGAAGCCGACAGAAAGAATGGCCTTGGTTGCGGGACGAACATGTCGGTGAGGACCGGGCCCAAAATGGCTTTGTTCATGCAGAAATGAGATACACAGCAACCGCACTCTTTCTTTTCCTTGCAGCTTGCTTACGCTTGGTTCTTCGCTCAAGCATTTCTATTCGTTTGTCTCCCAGGTTTACTGTTTGTTAGGGGTTCTCAATTCTTTCTTAAGATGTGTCCGCTTGTGTCACTGGTGGTGTCCGCCCTTTTCCGCTGGCCATGTAGCATTTCTATTCGTTTGTCTCCCAGGTCTGTCGCTGCTGGTGTCCGCGCTTTTCCGTTGGCCATGTAACATTTCTATTCATTTGTCTCCCAGGTCTGTCACTGCTGGTGTCCGCCCTTTTTCCGCTGGAGATGCAACATTTCTATTCATGTGTCTTGCAGGTCGGTCACTGGTGGTGCCCGCCCTTTTCCACTGGCCATGCCCCAGGTTCGGTGCCTGCGCTGCTGGTGTCCGCCCTTTTCTGCTGGCCATGCAGCATTTCTATTCATGTCTCCCATGTGATTTCTTTACTTTTGTCTCGCAGGCTCGGTGCCTGCACTGATGGTGCCCACCCTTTTCCGCTATGATTTGTTTCCAGGTGGTTTCTTAACTTCCCCAAACAGGTTACTGTTAGGGGTTCTCAATGCTTTCTAAGGGTGTCCGCCTTGCTGCGGGACAGCGTGTCCGCCTTCCGTCCGGCTTGTCGCCCTCTGTCCTTCTTGTTGGCCGCCTTGTCTCCCTTCTATCTCCTTTTGTCTCCCTTCTTGTCTCTCTTCTTGTTGGTCATTGTGTCCGCCTTGTCTCCCTTCTCTCTTTCTTTGTCTCCGGTCTTGTCTCCTTTCTTGTTGGTCACTGCGTTCGCCTTGTCTCCTTTCTGTCTCCTTTTGTTTCCCCTTCTCGTTGGACACCGTGTCTGTTTTGTCTCCCTTCTGTCTCCTTTTGTCTCCCTTCTGTCTCCCTTCCTTGTGTCCCTCTTGTCTCCCTTCTGTTTCCCTTTGTCTCCGGTCTTGTCTTCCTTTTTGTTCTCCATTCTTGTTGGTCACTGTGTCCGTCTTGTCTTTCTTCTGTTTTCTTTTGTTTCCCTTCTTGTCTCCCTTCTTGTTGGTCATCGTTCTTGTCTCTCTCTTCTTGTTTCCCTTCTTGTTGGCCTTCTTGTCTCCCTTCTTGTTGGTCATTGCGTCCGCCTTGTCTCAATTCTGTATCCCTTTGTCTCCGGTATTGTCTCCCTTCTTGTGTCCGTCTTCCTTCCCAGGTTCGGTGCCTGCACTGCTGGCGTCCACCCTTTTCCGCTGGCCATGCAGCGTTTCAAAACATTTGTCTCCAAAGTGATTTCTTCACTTTTCCACCAAACAGTTCTCAATGCTTTTTAAGAGTGCCCGCCTTGCTGCGGGACACTTCCGTCCGGCTTGTCACCCTTTCCCTTCTTGTTGGTCACTGTGTCCGCCTTGTCTCCCTTCTGTCTCCTTTTGTCTCCCTTGTCACTGTGTCCGCCTTGTCTCCCTTCTGTTTCCCTTTGTCTCCCTGTCTCTTTTCTTGTTGGTGATTGTGTCCGCCTTGTGTGCCGTCTCCTTTGTCTCCTGTCTTGTCTCCCTTCTTGTTGGTCACTTTGTCTGCCTTGTGTCTCTCTTCTGTTTCCTTTTGTCTACCTTCTTGTATCTCTTCTTGTTGGTCATTGTGTCCACTTATCTGGGCTGCTGTGTCCGCCTCTCGCTTGCCAATCCGTCATGCAGTACAATTGTCTCCCAGCTCTGGGCTGCTATGTCTGCCTCTCGCTTGCAATCCTTTACGTGTGTTTTCAGCTCTGGGCCGCTGTGTCCGCCTCTGCCATGCAATCCTTGAATTCCATGTGTCTCCCAGCTCTCAGCTGCATGTCGCTTGCAATCCTTTACATTTGTCTCCCTGTGTCTACACGTGTCTCCCAGCTCTGGACTGCTGTGTCCGCCTCTGCCTTGCAATCCTTTGTCTCCCAGCCCTGGACGTCACAAACTCTAGTTGCAGTGTTCCGATTTTGAGAAACACAAAGTGTTTGGGGTCTACGGTGGTGTAATTTCAGTGTGTGTCCGTTTGTGTGTTTTTTGTTGAAAGCATGCGTGAGGAACTCATTATATTCTTTGGCACCGATTGCCAACGCAATGCTGAAGAGTTGCTTGCCAACAGCTGGAAGGTTGTCAAGAAGAACCTGAATACCAGCATCATTGCCGACATGCAATGTGACTTGCAGAAGAGAGCAACTATCAAGCTTCAAGAATGGATTCTTGGCTGCATCAAACGGATGCAAGAATTAGAGCAAGAGGTTTGTCTACAGGTCTCCCAAGTGGAAAAGCCTGACTTTCACCAGCTTAATCGAGTTGAGTTCAGCACTCCTGGACAAGTGGCAATGACATCAGAGACGCGCAGGAAGCAGCGCACTGCGTGGCGGCTTTGGCTGTTCAAGAAACATATGAAGGACAGAGACGTGACCATCACTCCTGTGTCGAAGATGAAGAATTCATTTAATAGCACGATTGAGGAGCAGTGTAGGGCTTGGGTGGAGAGTATGGAGAAGCATATGGAGGAACTCATGCAGGAAAAGTATGAACAGTTGGAGCGGACATACTTGGGACAGCTGAGCAAATACACAGAGCAGCTGCATAAGGTCTCTGAGAATGAGAAGGGCAAGGGCTTTGAATATTTAACCGTACTCCGCACTCTTCTTGCTCAGATCCAAAACATTGACATGGAAATAACAGAGCTGTCAAAGCTGACAGAGAAAGGTGATGTGGAGGAGGAGTATTGCCAGCAAGTTGAGCTCGGGCAGGGCGGACTTGCTGCTGCCGACACTGACTCTGTTGCCCCACCGCCCTGCTCAACATTTGGCAGTGCCTCGCCAGTCTCACCAGTCAATGATGTGAATACTCGGAAGGTTGCACATGTGCAAAACTTCTTGAACGAACCCGAGATGAGTGAGACTGTTCGGGAGAGCTTTGCCGAGAACTCGGTAGATGGAAAGGTCCTTGCGGGTCTCTCAGTGGAGGAGCTGATTCTTTACTTCCTCGGGCACATTGATGCTTTCGTGTGGGGACGGGTTGCAAGTGGCGTTTGCTAAACTCCAGTTATATAGACCAGAGTTGCACTCATTGGGAATGGTGTCTCGTGGGAGCAGCGTGCTCAAATTGATAGGTCAAGTGATAGTGTGGGCGAGCGGCCTAGCACAAGGTTTGCAGACGAACTTTTGGGCTTTGGGCCATTCATTGCAAAATATTTCCACTATTTTCCACTCTCGAGCTTTGCCCTGTCCTCACTGGCTGGCTGGGTGCCACTTTGGCTTCTGCGCTTGGGCTTCTCCCATCCTACAGGTTCGACCACCGCTGTCGAAGCCTCGCCTCCGCCGAGGCCAGCTTCCGACGCCTCCATCTCACTTGCATGAGCAAGGGCGTCGAGCTCTCCATCCAGTTCAGCTCGCCTCCTTAGGCGAGATTGGCTTAGCCTCTGCTTTGCTGCTAGTCGCCAAGTCTCCACCTGATCCAACTCTCTGCTCTGAAGACTGTGGGCCTCCCTGAGCATCTGCTTGAAAAAAACATTGAACATTTGTTAAAGAACATCGTTGAAAGTTCATTCTGATATTTTGAACATCATTTTTGCATGGATAACTGAAGCTTTAGGAGTTCTTACTTCTCAATGATGTGGTGGCTGATCGGCACTTTGGTCCACCGCTGCCGCTGCGGCCTTGTCTCCTTACTTGTCTCTCCACTTCTCTGGATTCTTTCTTGTGAATGATGCACTTGATGATTTTTCAAAATCAGGTGCTTCTGTATTTAATAGTTGCTTTTTGGTGTCTATGCCCGTGTAATTTAAGATTTGTATTCAAACGCTTTTCAGTAATACATTGGTTGATATTGGTCCTGATATTAGAAACGGTTTCAAAGACGAGGTTGGAGGTTTTTGAGGCTCGAGTCGAACTGTAGACGTTCAGTCTTCGTTTCGCTTGTTCTTTGTGTCTCCCTTCATTTGTCTTCCAGGGTTTGGTGCTTCCGGTCAGGTTTCCGGCGGCTTCCTTTCATTGTGCCTTTTCATTTGTCTCTTCAAGAAGTGGTGCTTGTGGGCGGGCCTGCGTCCGTTCTTTTTTTCTTTGTTTCCTGTTTCCTTTGGCAGCAATCCTGCTAGGTTGTTGAAAGGAGTTTGCTAGCTGCTCGATGTCATGGAGGGCTTGCTCGGGGGATGCGGGCATCCCGTACTTCAACCTCAAAGGCCCTGAGGTCAGAGGGTTTTGCGCGGACAGGATGAGGATTCGGAAGGTCCTTGCAATCTTCCACCGGCAAGAAAGGTGCCAAAGAAACATGATCGAATTGCGCTGACATTTTCTTCAAAACATCTCCGCCGCCCGGGAAGACACTGGGCAACACCCCAAACCAAGCCTCATCACTTCAAGTGGTCTAAACACAACCTATGATAGAATAATAGGTTACCTATCTGAATGAAATCTGAAGAGCTGAAGACTGAAACAGAGCGGTTGTTCAATGTTGTAAAATGCGAGGATCCGCCAGAACCTCCACCTGTAAGGGGGTATACGATCCGTTGACCGTAAGAGAGGTGCGAGGGTCAGGGAAAACAGATCGAAGCTGCGAGGACACTTTGTTCTAGGATTCAACTGTGTTGTAGACTGCCCTGCAGGGACCAGGGCCAGGAGTATCTCTCTCTCTCTATATATATTATATATGTTGCATGTAGAGTACACGCACTGTCCACTTGGAACGAGGTGTTTGCTTAGGGGGTTTGTCTCACTCCTTGAATCTCAGTTGAGTTTGGCGGGAGTTTGCGTTGCAGAAACAAACATCGTATACAGTGCAGCATTGACCAGCAGTTTTCTGAAGACAGAGACAATGCCGGCCAGTGTTGCTTGAGTTCTCTTCTCAGTTGTAAAGAAGCAGGATTGATGCTGCGTGCCACGTATTACTTGAAGTTACACTTTCTGGTTTCAAACACATTTGGCGCACCCGACCTCCCAAAGCTGCCAGGGCAATTCCGAAGACAATCTAAGCAGCAGTGGAGAAAACGCGATCCGTGTGACATTTGACCATGCCACACTTGCCACGTGAATCCGACTTCTTAATCTGATCCCATAAACTTTGAACTTGGTGTGCCTAACTTGATATGCTTTTGTATGCTCTTGGCGTGTTCAACTGCAAAATGTCATGCAGCGAGCTGCACAGGAGCCCACAGCTTTGAAACCGGCAGTGCCCCTTGAAGGACTTCCGTGCGTTGAAAAGAAGTTCGAAACACCTTCCAAGTTACAAATTCGCTGTCTAATTTCAACTTTCATGTGGACGCTTCATTTTCTGCAGGAGCTCCTTCAGAGAAGGCGCTTGCTTTTGATTAGCGTCCGTTTTCTGTGTAGGCAGTCTCTGCAAACTTCCCTGCAAGCAACGTTTCCAAATACATGGAGAGGCACTTCAGCCATCGTTCTTTCAGTGCAGGAGCCGACAGAGAGTGCCGATGTGCGGAGCATGCACTGGTATTCTCACTACATACATACAGTCTTCAACGCCATTTATAGCTGCATAATGGACGATCAGGCCACAGGACTGCGTAGGGCAGGAGGGCATTTGTTGGAAGGACATTTTTAATGCTGTTGAGGAGCGGTGCTTATCGGTATCCAACCCGACTTAGACCGTGAAATGACTTGCCTGGAGTGGCCTTGCCTACAGCAAGATCTGTCAGACACTTACATCATTTGCATCGTGGGTTTCTATCTGCGTAGACATCGGCCGAGGCACAGCGCCTTCAAGAAGAAGAAGCATCCTTTTTTTTTGGAAGGGCGTTTCGCGTATTGACATCAAACAGATCGAGATAAAGCGAGTGCATCTTGATAGTTTGAGCAGCTTGGCTTTTCTTGCTTGGCGGTGGTTGGGGTGTCTCATGAATCCGAAACCAAAGCAAGAGCATTTCGTGCACTCGAGCATTCGACAGAGACCGACTGGCTCAAGGGAGAGGACTCAAGCAGGCTGGACAGAGGACAAAAGGCGTGGACGCTTGGACAGGAAGTTTCGGTAGAACTATATAGGTTGTTTTGGTTGCTACCTCTGTAGTTCCGAACAAATCACATTGGTAGCGGAGCCGATTTGGCCTCCGTGTAGGAGTAAGCCACGGCTACAGAGTCCTCAGGAGAGGACACGAGTTCTGGAATCGGGAGTCTTTTACAATCGTCTGATCCTGCCACTGACAATGCACGTGAGTATTTGGCCAAGGTGAAATTCATTGATGGCGTTTGTCCAAAAAAGGATCGTCCTATGCTGGCACCTCGACTGGCGATGATGTGTAAGGGAACAGCATGGCATCAGGTGAGAGACGACCTGATCTGCTTACAGATCCAACGAAAGAGCGAAGGATTTCTTCTCTGCGTTACAAAGTCGGGAGGAGACTGCCGAGCTGAAGACTTTGGAACTTTTTGAGAGAGCCATCTACAAGACAGTTCAGAAACCAGACAAATCCACACAGAGCTATGTGAATCGGTTGCTGGTAGCATTCGATGAAGTGGGCCCGGACACTACATTGAAGTCAGTAGCGGCGTTCGTTTTGTTGAAGCAGAGCTGCCTTTCACATGAAGACAAAAAGAAGGTCTTGACCATGACCAATGGTGTGATGGAGACGACAGCAATCGAAGGAGCAATGAGGTCATTGTCCGCCAATGCGCTGAACAGCTCAGGCAGTCAAGAGAAAAAAGGTGTATCCCACCAACTTCGTGGAGCCAGAGGAGACTGAGATCAACAAGGACATCAACCAGGCCTATGCAATGAACCATGAAGAGGAAGAGGACGTGAACCAAGAGACCATTGAAAGCCTAGCTTCATGGGGAGACTCAGATGCTCTTGCAGTTCAGGCCTTTGAGAAAGACTTGGAGGATTTGCCCCAGGAGGTTCCTGACCTTCACACTGGTCTGGTGTCATTTCATGAAGCCAGAGCAAGAATCAGTGAGAGAAAAAAGAATCGCGGCTTCTGGCCATCAGGACAAAAGAGTTCTGGAAAGGGATGCAAATCGAGCTTTGCAGGTGGTGGCGCAAAGGGCTATTGAAAAGGAGGTTCCAAGGGCAGAAATGAACTTCTTCAACGTACAGCCCGTACTCACTGCAAGAAATGTCACGAACTGGGTCTTTGGAAAGCAGAGCGCCCAAACAAGACCAAGGACCAGGTGACGACGAGGCAGACTAGGTGGTCTTCGAGAACTTGGACGTAAGCGATCACTCGGAGGTTCGTTCCGATGAAACATTCACGAAAGTTGGTCAAATCAGCCAAGATTTGAGATTGGAACAAGCTTTCGTAGGAATTCACAAAGCGTGCAATTCAATCGATCCAACAGGGGACCTCAAAGTAAAAATGCAGAAGCTTTTTGAAACCCGGTTGAAGTCTGTGCATTTTGCCAGGCAAAGCAAACAGAGCAAGATCTGGCCAGATCAAGTCAGCACTTTCCCAAGCTGTACCAGTAAGTCAGGCAAAGAAGCTTTCGATGCCCAAGGCTATGCCATAGTTGACACTGGAGCAAGTCGGAGTGTCATCGGCAGTGAAAATCTACCGCAGATGATGCAGTTGTTGGATTCCAGCGCTCGAGCCCACATCAAAGAAAGATCCAGTTGCATAGGATTTCGTTTCGGTAACAATCAGATTGAATACAGCTTCAAGAAGATATGGATTCCTTTTTGAAATGAAGCACAACAGATTTGGCTGATTGTCGAAGTTGTACCTAAGAGCACGCCATTTTTGTTGTCCATTCAAATATGAGAAAGCTTGGAGCAGTGATTGATTTGAAACAAGGTACATGTTTTTTCGCAGACGTTTGGTAAAGCCATCCCATTGAAACAAGGGAGTACCGGACTCTTAATAATCAGCTTGGCCGAGCTTTGTCGTCCACAGTCGACGCAGGCCCTTGTTGCACCAAGAGTTGTCGATCAGCCGGATTACGAGAGCCTTGAAAGCCATACCAACCAGGCAAGATGTCATGGAGATGATTTGATAAACAGCAGATGCAGTCTTGCAACTGCTCAAGACCCTCCTGATGCTCCTGATGCCACAGGGTTGACAAAGTTCAGGGGCGCGGCCAAGAGGAGGACAGGA